GCGGGGGGGGGAGGAGGGTTGGTTGGGGGGGGGCGTGTGGACGCTGACCAGACAGCTTCTTAACCTGGAGGATTGGGAGATTGCTCCACTCTGAGGCGTCTGGAGGCTTTGCTTGTATGTCATTAACTGGGGGCATCTCACTCAGGACTCGGGTGAGGAGATGAACAGCGCCCCCACGTGGCTGCCCCGACCACTTCCTCCAAGTTTGCTGATTCCTCCTCCTGTTTAATTGTGCCTATTTAGCCCAGTAACATTTCAGGAGCCCTGTTTTTGGTCATATCAAAAGAATGAGATGTAATCCCCCCCCAGTCTGGGATTTAATTTATAACCCAGCCCCCCCTCTGAGGGTCTGCTTCAGCTTCTAAGGTGACACTTTATGGCTGGAATGCGTCTGTCTGCGTTTCTAAGTCTGTCGGATTAAATACAGCCCCCCCCATCGCGCTGCAGCGATTGCACCTTCAGAAAGGGTCCCTTTGGAAAGACGATGCGTGTGTTTGTTGTCCTTCGTTTTAGCTGGGATTTATGCAGTCTGAAGCCATAATCGAGCCCTCTCATTCCTCCCTGTGGGGGTATTTCCTGTGGGATCGGGGGGGGGGTGGTGGTTCAGCAAAAATGGTGAAATAGCATGCTGCTTTCCTTCGGAAATCCCAGGAATGAATCGGGTGATTCCAGTCAGGGATCCGTCCAGCCCCTGGCATGAGTGTCGTTTAAACGTTCGGACATGGTATCTGAAGGTGCCCCCCCAGACCCCGCCCCCCCCCAGACCCCGCCCCCGCACTCCCTCCCGCTGCCCCGCTTTGCATGCGATTTGCATGTTGCCCAGACAGCCGCTGTAGGTGCTGCCGCTGGGACCGTTTCCTGGTGGATGAAGTGGTGCTAGAATAGGGGGGGGGGGGGGGGCAGACAGAACATGTGGATACCCCTCCGTAAAGAGGCTGATTTCGGTCTGAATGTATTACCCCTCCGGGCGTCCTCCCAAACAGCGGTTTGGGTCAGTGGTGTTGGTGGGGGGTGGGGGCATTAATCACATACCTCGAACATGCAAATCGCCCTCGCTCGCGGGTCCTGAGGCAGCACTGTGAAACACGCTGTAATTGTCCCGGGTCCTGCTGAATTGTAATGTTCCACTGGGGCTGAGGCAGGTGCTGGAGTCCAACTCTGCTCCGTCCGGCTCCGTCCCCTGAGCTTCTCGCCGCACAGTGTGTGTGTCTCCCCCCTCGATTTGTGAACACACTGGAACTGGCAGGACGATTGTGTGTCAGGATGTTTGCCTTCTGATGTTGTTGTTGTTGTTGTTGTTCCAGTAAAGCGCCCTCCCAAGTCAGTTCTTTGTCTGTAACTGCCCCCCCCCCCACACCAGCCCCAGTCAGTAGTTTGTCAGTGACTGTATCCCCCACCTAGTCAGTAGGCACGTTTCCACCACAGGAACCTTCTTCAGGAACCAGGGACTTCTATCCTGTTCCCACTGCACTTCATTGGAGGTAGTTCCGGAACCTTTTTTTAGTCTCTACTCTGAAGTTGGTACTTTTCACTTGAGCAAGACTTACTGATAAACTTTGCTGATTGGTCGACCACAAGCACCAGTGCTAACAGAAGTGTAGCGTAAAGATATAGAAGTAGCAAAGAAAAAAATTGAGCAGATGAAATTATTTCTTGTATCTGTCATGTTAAATACATTAGATGCTGCATCTCCATATTTCTGCCTCAGAAAATTCATTTGATGACTGACATACTTCTGTCTAATATCCGGTGGCGAAGTGAAACCTGCCAGCGCTTATTAGCGGAATAACGTTACATCATTTTTTCTTTATTATGAGGAAAACAAAAGACTAACCTGCTGGCCAGACGTAATAATGAACTGTCAACATTTTAAGGGGCTTATAAATGAAACACAAATCGAAGGTTGTGTCCTGTTATTCGGGCTGCATGACCGACTGCCCCAGTAACTAACAAATCAAAGTGCTCTCCCTGCCTTGTTATGGCGTGGTGGGGTTGCTTCTTATTAAATTACGTGTGAAGTTTATCCTGCAGGCTTTTTGTGTCTTCCGTGTTTATTTAGCATAAAGTTCCCGGTTCGTGTTGTGAGGCACGAAACTGACACACGAAAGTGGCCGGGAATGGCAGGAGTTCCTAATTGAGATGGCACAGGAACTCAGAACCAGGAACTAGGATCCTGAGCTTTGGTGGGAAAGCGCCTAGTGCTTTGTAAGTAAGCGTCCAGTGGTTTCTGCCAGCAACCTCCCCCCATCCTTGGCCCCCTTCCTGCTGCACCGTGTTCTGACAGTGTTTCCCCGCGTTCCTGGCTGTCCTTCAGGAAAGGCAATCCTGTTGGTGTAATTAGTCTCATCTGTGTCTAATATACTCATAAGTATGTATAACCTTAAATGCGTCCCGGTGCAGGAGCGAGTAGCCAGCATGAGCAGAGCACATACCTGATGTGTGCGTGTGATGCCGTGTGTGTGGCAGGGACGGGGGAGAGACCGGATTGCTGCCCCGGAGAGGCAGAGAGGGGAAGGGAGGGGAGAGAGAGGGGAGGGGGAGGGAGGGTGACTGGCCTGCAGCTGTGCCTATGTGCCCCCCCTCAGTCCCCCCCCCCCGCTCCTGTAATGGGTCAGACGTGTTTCCAGCTTGTGAATGATGTGAATATTTTGCCCTTATATGTCTGTCTGTGAGTCTCTGGTGAAGGTGAGTCGGGGGGGGGGGCTGTTTGTGCCCTTTATCATAAGGGCACAATGATTGTTTTGGTTCTCCTGCTGTTCAGAAGTGCAACTGCTTTCCACCTTCCCCTTCCCATAGTGCCAGCGGAATCCTGCCTTTACACACATGCTGGAGATGGTGGGTATTTCAGGACAGGTTATCCGGAGAGTGACGCCTGCTGTATTTGGGAGGCTGAGCTCCCGCCACCCCCCCCCCATTTTGGTACCTGCTTCTCCAGCTGACCCCAGCTGATGACCTAGGTGTCTACGTCTCTATCTGAACAAAGCTACCGCACCGCAGATGCTCTCCAGCCAGCGCCGACACAGGGCAGTTCACACGGCTGCCAGCGGGTGGCAGTATTAGCCCTGAGTTGGAGGCTCGCGAGGCGCGACCAGCGTCACACAAGCGGTTAAACGCGACGCCGCTCTCAGCGCTCCCCGAATCGCATGATGTCATCCTCGATTTGTGGAGACACTTGTTAAGCAGCGAGTGCCTTTATTTATTTCGTTCTCTGCAGCGTCGTCGGTTCTTCGCCAACCTCCGTCCCCTGTAAGAAAGCCTGGCCTCTTGGGGGCGCCAAAGCACCCCCCTGTGCCCGTGATGGCGTGTCTCCTGCCTGCCCCTGTATCACACGCTGGTCTTGGTTTTGTTTGGATGACCCCAGCTGTGAAAGGTCGCATGAGGGCAGCGGTACTACTGCAGCTGCGTCTCCCCAGCCCGCCTGTAGGTGGTGCTGTGTACTCGGTTACGCCGCGCCATTCTGCTGCCCTTGGCTGCTTTGCTTGCTTGCGATAACCCAGTGACTTTCTATTAGGTTTATTACCCCCCCTCCCCACCCCCGTGCTCCACGTTTATAACTGGAACAGTATAATTATGATTTACACGGGACAAATATTGCCGCCTGTAGCCATTAACAGTCAAACCAGGCTGTTTCCTTGTTGCACGCAAGTGCATTGTGGACCCGTGGTGGCATTTATGGGGGGGAGGGGAGCCAAGCCCCTCCTGGTACGTGCGTGGACCTGCCCAGACCAGCTGTAACGGGCCGTTTGTAATTTGTCTATATTTGCT